TCTGTCACCTTCAGAGAACTGCCACCCAATTCTGTTTCCTTTGGGCCTATGAGGGTAGCAGCACCTCAGAAAAAGATTTACTGCAGACTGATTTCACTGATGAATGTAACATTCGGGGACCCTCTGACGGCTTCCAGGAAACTTCTGTCTGCACTCAAGAGGAAGTCTGTCATCACGAGTGAGCTGTAAAAGGATTCCCAGCTCAGCTACGTGTGCCTCCCCACCTATATTTAAGAGTTGGCAAAATTCAGGTTCTGCTATTGTAGATGAGGGTCCCTTACACAAAGGTTGCTGAGCAAGACCCCTTAGCCAGCCTGTTTCCCACCTTCAATTTTCTCTCATCCTCAGGGCTACTGCGATTTGATGGGTGTGTGAGGTTAAGAGAACAGCACACTGACTCCAACACATAGTCACAGAGGATGGAGCAATCCCAAAAGACAGCCAGAGAATTTTAATGAAAACCAGACAACTCCTGGGCACTAAGTCCAAATGCAGTTCAGGCTGCCAGCCCCTCCTCCTACAGCTAAGAATCCCTGAGCCAGCATTGCCCCAGAGAGCAGAGAAAAATCCATTTTGCATTCAGCAGCCTTCCTTAGCAGCCCCTTTCCAGGGTCATTTAGGTGAGAGGCAAGGAGCACACTAACTGCAATAGAACCCGGGGGCCCTGGGAGGCCCAGGGTGTGGCAGCAGCAGATCCGAGCCAACAGATTATGAAACAGTCATTTAAACAAACAAAAAAAATGTGCCTTTCTGCCAAAGCTGTCTGAACACAGCTGCATACAAGGCTAGTGAGGAATCTTAACAAGCTTAAAGGGACCGTATTTCAGATAGTCAAGAACTGAAGGTAATGAAAATTAATATTTTGAGTACTTATTATGTGTCAGGTGCTCTTACTCACTCTGCATTCACTTTGAGGTAGGAACTATAAACTGCATGTTACAGATAAGAACACTGACTCAGAGGTTAGATACCTTGTCCGAGGCTCACAGCTGGCAAGTGGTGAACCATGACTCAAAGTTCAACATGGGTGACACTTGTCAGAAATAAACTCGGAAACCTAACCTGTCCTGCCTAATAAAAAGAATCACTATTTACTGAACACTGACTATGGCCCTGGGGCTAAGCTAAGATTTTTGCATTCATTCTATCATCTAATCCTGGCAGCAACCAAACAGGATAGGAATCATTACTATCCCCATTTTCAATGAAGACACTAAGGTTAGATGTTAAATAATTTGGTCAAGGTCATGACACTGCCAGGATTTGATCCCTGGTCTCTCATTTCAGAGCCCCCATGTTAAAATACTCTAACAGCCTACAGAGGGGAACCACCTAGGCCATCATGCCCAGAAAGCAGGTTCCAGAGAGACTTCTGTCCCCCTTCCCAGCAGCTAACCCATGTTCCAGGGTTACCTGTTTTTAAAAAATATTTCATTTATTTGTTTTTAGAGACAGGGGAACAGAGGGAGAAAAAGAAAGAAACATTGATGTGATAGAGAAACATTGATCAGCTGCCTCTCATACATGCCCCGACCAGGAATTGAGTCAGCAGCCATCTGTTTTGTAGGCCTATGCCCAAGCAACCAAGCCACACCAGTCAGGGCATCCACGGTTGCCTTGTAATTCCTCTGAGCATTCCTCAGTGGGGGCACAGAATCACTGGCTCTGGGCAAGTTGACAGTGACACTTCCACCTTCCCAGGGACTGTGTGCTCTGTTGGCACTGCACATGTGAAGGAGAAGGCTACCACCATGATCCGGAGATGCTTATGAGTGTAGAAGCCGACAGCTCCTTTCTGCAGGCTATGCTCCACAGGCCCACACACCTCAGAGCAACCTCCACCCACCCCCTACAAAAGAGCTCACAGGCCTATTTTGTATTCTTAACAGGAGACCATGTGCCTCCTCTTAGAGCAACTGTGATTTCCCAAGGGAGACAACTGTCTAGACAGAGCATCCCAATCCATCTTGACAAGAAATGGGCCCCAACAAAGTCAGGTCTGAGCATTTAGTTGCGGGGGGCGGGGGGGGGGGGCGGTGCGCAGTGTTCAGTGGCCCAGTGAAGGCCCTGGACCTGGCACCCTGTGTTATCAGACTGAACACCACTATGCACAACAGCTGATATCCAGGGTTAGAACTGTCTTCCCAGCCACGCAAACATTACCTCAGGGGAGTCACATGCATCTTACACCTAACCGATGGGTCAGTCACACACAGGCATACTATGTAAACAGTTCCATTAATCAAGTTGAGACTCCAGAGAACTTTTCTATGCATGTTCAGAATTAAGCACCAGGCTGTGAGGTGAGCTGAATACCTCATATGGGCCAGGTACTGTGGAGGTACATTCACAGCAGATATCTTAATTATCTTCACAACATTCTGTGAGGTAGATAAGATTGCTATTATACAGTTAAGGAAACTGGAGCCCAGAGAGGTAACATAATTTGCCCAAAATCACAGAGAAAGTTGCAAAGCTCTGATTCTACTCCATTTTTAATATGACGGCACAGCCTTATATTCAGTCAATGATGAGGCCATTCATTATTCCTCAGGCATTTATGGAACACCTTGTGTGCACAGCTACTGTGCCACCCGTAGAGGACTCGACTGACAACGTGACAGCATAGGGCCAGTAACCAAAGAACTTATGTTCTCAATGAGGAAAGAAGGCAAGGTGGTCTGAAAGATAGATACAGGATGATGAGGTAGGGCCTTAGATGAGTGATCAGGACAGGCTTCTTGGAGGAAGTGGCATCTGAAATGAGAGCTGAAAGATGAGAATGAGCCAGCCATTTGCAAAGCTCAGAAAAGAAGAGCTCAGGCAGAAGAAACAGTGCAACAGCCGTCGGCAGGAGAACACTTGGCATGGCTGAGAACACAGAGGCCACCAGGACTGAGGTGGAGTGAACAACAGGGAAGAAAGAATGTTTGAAGTGAGGTAGGGCTTATTGATCGTGGAAAAGAGTTTGGATTTTGTCATTAAAGGCAATGGGAAATCAAAAAAGAGTTTTAATTAGGGGAGTGACAATCTGATTTGTGCCTAAAGAGAGAATTCTGGTTACCGGCTGGAAGAGGGAGTGCAGGGAGGGGGTGAGAGTCAGGACTGAGGGCAGACAGAGAGAAGAGCTCAGCTGATGTGAGGGCTCTCTGCCTGTCAATGCTGTGGAAAGTGGAATGAGCTGCCCCGGGGTGCTGATGACTTCCCTGTCATTGGAAACATTAAAGAATAAACCAAGCCCTGGCTGGCGTAGCTCAGTGGATTGAGGGTGGGCTGGGAACCAAAGTGTCCCAGGTTCGATTCCCAGCCAGGGTACATTCCTGGGTTGCAGGCCAGAACCCCCAGCAACCGCACATTAATGTTTCTCTCTCTCTCTCTCTCTCTCGCTCTTTATCTCCCTCTCTAAAAATAAATAAATAAAATCTTTTAAAAAATTTTTAAAAAAGATAACATTGTTTAAAAAAAAAAAAAAGAATAAACCAGCCCTGGCCAGTGTGGCTCACCTGGCTGGAGCATCGTCCCATAAACTGAAAGGTTACAGGTTCGTTTCAGGTTGGGACATGTACAAGAGGCAACAGATCAATGTTTCTCACTCCCATGTTGATGTTTCTCTCCCTCTCTCCCTCCCTCCCTTCCTTTCTCTCTAAAATCAATAATCATGTCCTTGGGTGAGAATTAAAAAAGTAAAAAAATAAACCAGATGACCCCTTGGCTAGACGGTTAAAGAATTCAATAATTGGGCAAGCAAATCCTCCTAAACATAAAATCCTTCTAAACCTTAAAATTCTGTGGACTTAAGAAAAAATCATTACTAATCTGACTTTCAGAACTGGCATTTCCAAAAATACAGGGTACAACTTCCTTGTAAATCCTACATTTTAAAAGGCAAATAAAAACAATACTGGCTTACTTCAGTCAATATGAAGTTATTCCTAGTTCACTTCTAAGTGTCACACAAGACGCTGAAAGGTTTGGGTGTAGGTAAAAGCACAGACTATGGAATCAGACAGCCTAGGCTGGCTCCATGATATCTGGCAAGTTATTTAAATCCTTTGGGTCTTAGTTTCTTTCTTTGAAAAATATGGGAAAAATAATGTCTAATTCAGGATAATTGCTGTAAGGACCAAAGTCCAACGTCTGAACATTATAATAAGAATAATGATAACTGACATTTATTGAGCTATCACTATATGTTAGCATGTACTATGTAATCCATTTGCATTTTTTCATCTAATCCTTACCCCTCCCCCAAAAAACAGAAGGTAGGCACTATTACTATCCCTGTATTAAAAATTAGCAAACAGGTTTTTAAAAGTTAAGTAACCTAGCCAAAAGTCATATAGCTAGTTATTGCTCAAATTGGGGGGCAGGGGGACAAACTAATAAATTCCAACAAAAAGTTGAAAGACAAAGGCAAAGAAACCCATATATACATAATTTGGAAAAAAAAAAGATGTAACCTACTGTTAAACTTAAAAAATAATTTAATTCACTAACTAGACATTTAGTAAATAAATATTTATTGAACATATAAATGAGACAGGATAATCCAGGATGGTGGCAGAGTAGGAAGAAGCTAATCTCCCAGGACCAAGCTGAAATTACAACTAAATTATAGAAAAATCGTCCTGAATAACCAACTGAACACTAGCTGGAGAGGATCTTATAACCAAGGACTTATGAAAGAAACCACATCACCACAACAAGACTAGTATGGAGTGTGGAGGAGGTGCAAGAGGGCCAGCTGGGCTCCCACGAATGGCTGCCAAAGTTTCAGAGGGATATTTCAGCAGCCAGCAGGGGTTGGGGTTCCCCCTGAGAACTGTGGTGTCTAAACCCCAAGCTGGGCTCCCCAGCCTACAACACCAGAACCAGTAAAGGAACCCACATAACATACAGCTATGAAAAGCAGCAGAGTTTCTGTCAACCAGGGAAAGATAGCTAGACATGCAGAGTCTCTTAAAGAGCCAATAAACAAAATTTTGTTTTCAGTCACTTACCCTGGGCTCCAGCAGAGGGAGGGCAGATGAGACCAGAGTCACATGAGAAGAGTCTGGTGTTGGTAGCTCTGGGGAGAGAACTGAAGGAATAGCCATTGGGATTCCTGTGCTCACTCATTCCCCAGACTGCAGAAGCCATCTTTCTCAGTCAGAGCACTCCTCTCCATAGAGCATCAGAGCATCAACCTGAGAGGAAGCAGTAGCCCTCCAGCAAGAATCCCTCTTACACCACATGGAGCTTAACCCCAGGTGCTGCGGAATACATCTGGAGGAACGTTCAGTGATTAAGCCTAACAGAAAACCTGCAGGTGGAGGCAGATCTCTAGGAGCTTTGAGACTTTAGCTGACCTCCCCGGGGCCTGGTACTAGTAAGAGCCAGCCTTGGTGCGCAGCCTGGTTCTGTCAGTATACACCCAGGTCCAGTAGAGGGAGGCACAAGCTGTGGATTGCTCCAAACAGGTTACACAGGGCCAGTCACAGGTGGCATCTGACATAAGACTTCACCAGAATCTTTGCACGTCTACCTAATACAGAGAAACAAACATAAAGAGGCAGCCAAAGTGGAAAGACAAAGACAGACCCCAAATGAATAAACAAGAGAATTCTCCAGAAGAAGAGCTAGATGAAATGGAAGCAAACAATTTATCAGATGTAGAGTTTAAAGTAATGAATATAAGGATGATCAACAGCATGAAAAAAGACATAAAAACCATAAAAAAGGACCAGTCAAATATGAAGAATGAAATATCTGAAATAAAAAAATACACCAGAAGAAATACACAGTAGGGTAGATGAAGCAGAAGACTGAATCAGCAATTTGGGAGACAAGGTAGAAAAAATACCCAAGCAGAGCAAAACAAACAAACAAACATTTTTTTCAAAGAGGAGAGTTTAAAGGACCTTTGGGGCAATATGGTGCATAACATCTACATCATGGCAATACCAGAAGGAGAAGAGAGTGAGCAATGGATTGAGAACCTATTTGAAGAAATAATGACCAAAAACTTCCTTAATCTGGTGAAGGAAAAGACACACAAGTCCAGGAACCACAGAGGGTCCCAAACAAGATGGACCCAGAGAGGCCCACGCCAATACACATCATAATTAAAATGGCAAAGCCTAAAGACAAGGAGAGAATCTTAAAAGCCACAAGAGAAAATCAGTTAATTACCTACAAGGGAGCTCCCATAAGACTGTCATCTGATTTCTCAACAGAAACATTTCAGGCCAGAAGGGATTGGCATGAAAGTCAAAGTGATGAAAAGCAAGGACTTACAACCAAGGCTACTTTACTCAACAAGGCTATAATTTAAAATTGAAGGAGCAAAGAGCTTCACAGACAAGAAAAAGCTAAAAGAGTTTGTTACCACCAAACCAGCACTGCAACAAATTCTAAAGGGCTCACTTTAAGAAGAAGAAGAAAAATAAAAATCAACATATAAGTAAATAATTGAATGAGTAAATCATTCCAACAAACATTGAGTTCCTACCAGGCACAGCATCAAAAAAGTAAAGTTGCAGAACATCAATTTAAATGCAAGTTGGTCATTCAAACCACAAGCTTAAAACTGCAGATATATTGCCAACATAATGCCCCATAGTCCTTAAAAGAAGGTCCTAAGAAATGTCATTCTCATACAGACCAAAAGAAGCCAGAGTAACTACTGTTCTTTCTTTGAAAAGTCAGACAATTAGAGGGGTGTTCAGAGAAGTTGGCAGAAGACAGAGTACACAATAAATGGAAGACTACAAGAAATAGTTTCCAAGAAAAGATGAGAAGCCTTCCAAAGGAAGGACAATCTAAGAGAACAAAGCCTAGCTTATTAACTAGGAATCTGCTAATGAACTTCATTAGAATTATGGGAAAGAATACCAAGTCTCAAAGACATTTAGATGAATGGGTTAAGGAGGAAGGGGATGCATGATTTGTTAAGCAGCAAAAGGTAACTGATTAAAGACGCGATTTAAATATAGAGTGTGTATTATGGAATCAATGTTAAATTTCTAGGGCATGATAATGCTGTTGTGGTGATGTAGAAGACTGTCCTCACACTTAGGAGATAAATGCTGACATACTTAGAGATCAAGTATCATGATGTCTCCTCCATAAAACATAAATCTGCATACATAAAGATAAAGCAAATGTGGCAAAATGTTAAGAATTAGTAAGTCTAAGACTTTTTGAGTATCCTTTATACTAATCTGTTCCTTTGAAATTTTTGAAAATGAAAACTCAGAAATATAACTGCATACCTATCTCTAGAACGTGGTGATACTGAATACTTATCTGGCACCACAGCAGCCACCATGAAGGTACTTCTGTACTTTGCTGTCCTCCCCATTTTTACTGAAAGTGACTACTGCTACTGAAGAGGGAGGTGGAGTAATCCAGGGGTACACCCTGGGAGAGTGAAGAGAAAGATTCACTAATAGATAAGAAATGCTTAAAAGTAGGTATTAACGGCAAGAACCACTAAGTGAGGTTTTTCTCCCTGATACAATTGGGAGGAAAATGTGGCAGTTGGCTGAAACCTGAAAAGAAAAAAACTTTGGCAAAAAACATGGGCAGGTCCTTGAATTATTTTATGTTAGAAAACAAATATTCATGTGTTTCTCTATTTTAAGGGATTTCTCAAATGCCTACTAATGAGAATATCTTGTATTACATCTCTTCCCCCTGAAAATCTCTCAAGTTCTTACCATTAGAGCCTGAATCTGTTTTTTCACAACCTAATGAAAGCCTCTTTTATTTAATTTGGGTTGTCCTCCCAGTGACATGCAGCAATTATTAATGCTGTGTATTGACTTATATGAACCATGCCAGGGGTGTAGGTTCAAAGGACATAGCTTTCTGAGCTTAAATCCAAGAACCTCAGCTTTTCTATGCCACATAGAGAAACTCTGCTTACAGTAAATGGCAAACAATGCCCATGCTGCTTTTTATATTAAAAGCGGTAAGCCAGATAGGGAGGGTTTTTTTTTTTAGAATAATCTCTATAAATCTGCTAAAAATGTCTTTGACTTCAAAAATCTCCAATGAAATAAGCCCATGTATTACCATTGTCAGGCAAGAAAAGCATTCAACTTACAAGAAAAGAAAACATCACAAGGTACCATACATCTAATGAGTTGGTTGTTCTCATCTGTCAGAACTAAAAAAATTAATGCAGCAAAGATATTTGTTTTGGGCATTATTTGGCTCAAAGCCAAATCCATGCATGCTCATGCCTTTTTACAGAATCCCTCCATTCTTTAGCCCACAAACCCCAGGATGCCTCAGACTATAGTTTGAAACTATAATACAACTTTAAATTAAATGGTTGTTCAAAAAGAAGAAGAAGAAGAAGAAGAAGAAGAAGAAGAAGAAGAAGAAGAAGAAGAAGAAGAAGAAGAAGGTGGTACCACATGCAGAGAGAATCTTCCAGTTGCCTCTACAAACTTCATCAGATTCAGAGAAACCAACCAGGCTGTCACATCTGCAAGGAACCTTCAATATTCAGAGAATTCTTCTGCGCACGTTCATTCTTGAAACTGTTCAGTGACACTGTAAAGACAGCTGCAGAGCACTAGGCTTTTCTGGCTCACATCTGCATACTAGCACATACAGCTGGTGAAAGGATATGACATCAACAGACCTGGGCATGGGTCTAGCTCAGTCACTGAGTTCGCATTCACTTGTCACTAAAACTGTTAACTGCTTCAAGTACAATTTGATTGACTGACACATTGATTCACTCATTGGACAAACATCTGTTGAACAAATTTTATATATCAATCCAAGAATGGGGAAACACACATGAAGGGGATGTGCACCCTGCCCCCAGAAGCTCATAAATGAAGAAGCACAGTCCAAACACTTAGGCAAACAGGAGTAAAGGCTTCTGAACAGGTTAAACATTTGAGCCTGGATTTGAATCCTGGCTCTACCACTTATTGGCTAGGTGACTTTGGGCAAATTTTATTTAATCTGTTCAAGCTTAGTTTCCTCAGTTGCAAAATGAGAATGGTAATTATACCTATTATACTTGTTTACTGTCAAAGTTAAATGAGGTAATATATAGTACTACACATGTCAATAAACTTTCTTTTTTATTTATTGATTTTAGAGAGAAAGAGAGGGGAGAAAGAAAGAAAAACATTGATTTGTTGGCCCACTTATTTATGCATTCATTTGTTGACTCTTGTACATGCTTGGACCTGGGATCAAACCTGCAACCTTGGTATATCAGGACAATGCTCTAACCAACTGAGCTATCTGGCCAGGGCTATGTCAATAAACTTTCAATAAATATTGGCTGTGATTATTATTCATTATTATCTGGATGGTTATACTAGATATCATTTAAGGTCCTTCGCAACACTAAGATTCTACGAATTAGGTGTGTCACCCAGAAATTTAACATCTTTGGGCCTTGTGTTCTTTTTTTTTTAAGTAAGTGTTACTTTTCTTTTTTTTTAAGATTTTATTTATTTATTTTTAGAGAGGGAAGGGAGGGAGAAAGAAAGAGAGAGAGAAACATTAATGTGCAGTTGCTGGAGGCCATGGCCTGCAACCCAGGCATGTGCCCTGACTCAGAATCGAACCTGCGACACTTTGATTCACAGCCCACGCTCAATCCACTGAGCTACACCAGCCAGGGCGGGCCTTGTGCTCTTTATTTGTTAAATGAAAGGGTATATAGTTAAGTGATCTCTGAAGACCTTCCAACTCTAGAATGTTAGAAAGGCTCTATGATTGACATTACATGATTTCAGACATGTCTTGGTGCCCCTGCTTAAATAAACCAGTACAACAAAGCAAGTGCCAAATCAGTCATCTTTCTCTGGTGAGGGTCTGAATCTTTTTTCACGCTAGTTCCTTTAATCTTATAACCCACCCATTCATACTAGGCTATACCTGAGGTATGAGTCCCCAAAGAGAAAAGCAAGTGGGGAAGAAGCCAGGTCCCTGTCCCCTTCCTTCAGTCCAGGCAGTGGCATCCAAAACACAAGTGGGAGAGGTACAATGAATGAATGGATTCATTCATTCAATTCATTCACCCACAGAAGCTTCCCACATACAGAGGGAGGAGTGCCTTCC